CAGCCATGACTTGGTAGAAGAGAAAAAGGAAATGGCTATGGTCAGGAATGCGGAATACAAGTGTCGCATGACCAAATACTACAACTCGAGGATGAAACCTTGCTCCTTCTTACCTGTAGACCTAGTTCTCAAAAAAAAAATCCTATCTACCAAGGGCTCACGAGAAGGGAAGCTAGGTCCTAATTGGGAAGGACCCTACACCATGACAGAAGTTGTAAGGGTAGATACCTATAGAATTCAGAACTTTGAAGGTAAAGCCTTAACCCATCCATGGAATGCAGAATACTTGAAGAGGTACTATCATTAACAAGAAAAAATCAGTGAATCTCACTGCTTAGTCATAGCATTAGTTAGTTCAACAAGCTTACTTACTCTATTATCTATCATGTCAATTATGAAATAAAATTTTGCAAAAGTTATTTTGTCTAAACTGTCCTTTTTTTCATTCCATAGAAGTTTTCAAACAACTTATAAAAGTCAAAGCATGATATGACACAAAAAAGATAGATAAGAAAAGATAAAAACCATTATACACCCGACGACCACTCACTTCTCCCTGATCCACTCTCATCAAAACTCTCACCATCACCACCTGTCCCTAGTGTCTTATATAGGACGAAATTGGAGAAGTCAATTTCAAGAAAAATCGTTGAGGTCTTCCCCTTGAACTTCTCATAGCCATCAATAAAAGTGCCTACAAAGTTGCACTTTAGATCATGAGCAGTCCTCTTTGTAGCCTCCCTCTTAATCTCTACTTGATGGTTTTCCCCGACCTCCAAACACAAACCTGAATTATGTGTATATGGCTTATAAATATTGGTGAATGTCAGTCTCCCCCAGGTTCAATGCAAAAAGTGAAAAAATTATGTGTGTGGATGAACAAAAACGTGTGTATGCAAAAGTGCTCCCCAAGCATAGAAAGACTTGCAATGTCGTGTTTTACTTGGAATGAGTATTCCAAGGTCATCTCCTCAGGGAATGCGAGGTTGAATGCTTTTAAAGGGTAATTTGTGAAAGAAGTGAAAATTGAAAAATCTTGTGATTTGTGTTTTAGTGAGTTATACTTTGAGAAATATGTAAGAAAACAAGGTTGGCTAACCCATAGAGGTCATTCCAATGGGAATGGCAAATTGACTCATGTCATTCAACCAATGGTGTCTCGGTGTTCGATTGATTCGTAGGAAGTGAGAGACTAATGTAGTTGTGTTGGGCAAAAGCATACCCCGTGACAAGTCTATAGTGTATCAAAGTCCACAACTACGTCCATACTCAACCTAGTCAAATCAAATACTTTACACTATGAGGAAAAATGAAAGAGAGTTAATTTTGCACACCCAAGAGGAAATCCCTCTTGGATTAGCCAACTAAAAGCCTAGCTATGTATGATAAAAGCAAGAACAAACATGAAAGAGAAAAACATGGTAATGAAATCAAACATAAACTTATATTAATGTAAAGAGAAGTTTAGATTACAAAAGAAATGATATTTATACTCAAAATGCAAAATTTGAAGAGAAAATACCCAAATGTAAAAATGAACTACAAGAACACTTAGCTAACTTGATTACAACTTGAATAAAAGAGATTAGAGTGCAAAAGGGAAAGATTACAAGTTAAAATGGAGCTTACTACAATGAAAATGATGAAGAAAAATGTAAAAACTCAGCTTCTCTCTCTAGAACTTCATCTTCTACCTTGGAGCTTCTCTCTCTAAAAGTATGATAATCTGCAATTGTATAAGAGATTCCTATTTTTGTCCATCCCTTCTCTCCTTAGCATGAGTGATTGACTTGGAATGATTGGAGAGAGGTTGTCCACTCAAAGAAGCAAAATCAGTTAAGGCATAGACCTCCCATGCTTTCCAGCCACTTCCTTTCTCACCCTTGGCTCCCTTACTCCCTCATGTTTGTAATCTGAATGTAGGGGTTAAGAGATCATCATGGGGTGTTAAAAGTGTCAGTTCATGGTTTAGAGGACAAAAGGTAGGCCCCCGTAGTTGGTGAAGTCGTGAGGAGGAGTGTCTAAACTTTCTGAGCAACTTCTACCAGTAGGTCGTAGGGATTCTATTGGTAGCTCACTTCCAATAGGGTCATCTATCGGTAACTCGTAAGGCTTCTATAAGTAGATCACTTCCAGTAGGTCTTGTAGGGAGGCACTTTAAGCTAGTTTCCAAAGCTCTTCTACCAGTAGGTCTTGAATCTTCTACCGATAGGTCTTGCATGTCTTCTACCAGCAGGTTTTGTTCTCGTCTTGGAATTCTAGCCCCTTGAGCTCTTGAGCCATCCATCGTGAGGTCCTTTCTTCCCCCCTTGACTTTCATCACTTGATGGGGTGCCTTTGGCATGCTTTTTCCAACCTATCACCTACAATCAAACAAGTCTCCATTAATTTTAATTTTTAATCCATTTCCCCACAAATTCACTACAAAATCAATTGAGGTGTGATGAAAAAATATGAATAATATGCAATATTTCACACTCATCAATCTCCATCTCAATAGAATGAACCTCCATCCTGGTGTCCCTCTCATGAGCTACCCACAACTCTGCCTCAGCCACGACAGTCCTTTCCCGAGATATCTGTAGCTCTACCTCATCTCCTGCGACCCTCTCCCGGGCCATTAGCAGCTCTATTTCTGTTCTCGCACAGGCAGTCTCTTTATCAATCTCCAACTTGGCGGCTCTATAGCGGGACACCAAAGCTCGGCCTCAAGAGGTATTGCTCTCTCGCGAGCCAACCTCAATTGCCCCTCAGCAGCCTGGTGCGTCTGTCTCTCTTCCACCAAAGCCATTGATACCTCACCAAGCTTGAGTGTCATCAAAAACACACACAAAAAAACTATAGCCATTTGTGAATATCCAAAAGTAAAAGCATCAGTATGACCAAAAAGTGCAGAAAACAAGGTTGAACAAAAAAAAAGGGTACCATAACAAATCCCTCCATCGTGGCATCAATGATACCCTCAGGTGTCACAAACCTCCAAAACCACTCCTTGGTCAGATTCACATCCTACAACATGGACATTGAGCCACTACTGGAAGTAGGATAGCTACACTGAGCCCTAACCTCAATAGAAGCCTGCACAAGAGTCTCAACCCCTAAAGCAGTCCTAAGGATAACCCCAATACTCGAAGGAACCACGTGCTAAGAAGAAGTGGAGGCACAAGGGGTGCAACTCGGGCGGGTTGGACGGGTTGGACAATCAACCCTAGCCCAACCCTAGGTATATAATCTTCAACCCTAACCCTAACTCGGGTTGGAGAACTCAACCCGAACACTGCCCGAGTTTAATTCGGACGGGCATGGGTTGAATTTGGGTTGATGATTTCGAACTGATTTCGGGTTACTTTACGGGTTCAATTCAGGTTCAATTTGGGTAGAGCCCAAAATAGGCTTGTTGTTCTAAATCTAATACATATATTACATAATATTCACCTAAATTAACAACCAATAACGTTAACTAAGTTTTTAACGAGAGAGGCTGAGAGAACAAGAGATGCAAAGAGAACGAGAGAGACAAAAAACGATAGAACAAAAATGAAAAATCAGTGCTAATGTTTTATAATATATATATATATAATTTTTTTTTAATTTGTCGGGTTCGGGTTGAACTCGGATTCACGAGTCCTTAACCCAAGCCCAACCCAAATTGAATTCGAGTTGGGGTTTTTTGACCCAAGTATTAAAAATCCATGCCCATACCCTAATTTTTTCGGGTTTGGCTCGGGTTGAAATCAGGTTGTCCAACCCAAGTTGCACCCCTAGGAGGCACCACCAGGCCCTGCCTTCTGAGAAATAGTATAACCATCTGACCTAGGCTGGGAAGTACAAGGGGCATCAAATCTTGGCCTCTGGGGAGGAGGGAAAGCCACCCTAGTGGTGTAGAGAGCCTCCATCATCACTTTATCAAAAACGAGAGCACCTACAGAATTTGAATAAAAGAGAGAATTTATGAAAACTGAAGACATCACCAAATTTACCCCCACAGAAGCAAATATCTTTCTTTTTTTGTTTGGGAGAGACTCTAGAGTGACTCGACCTGGACATAAGGGCTAAAAATTGCTTGATAGGATTATCCCTTATAGCCTGGAGCCTACTTTCTTACTCCGCCAATAATGCGGGTGAAGATGCAAAGAAGCCAAACATGTAATGAGCGCAAAGAAGCCAAACATGCAATAAGTGCAAGAGAGATATAACAGTTGGGCATAAAAGTAGAGGTAAAACTCATACTTACTTGGTCCTCAAAGGAGAATCCCATCTCAAGGGAATCAAATCATGATCCTCCTCGGCAGCCCACTCTCCTCCTACGAAGAAAAACCTAGACCTCCAACTGTTACAGTTAGAGGGTAGTCTAGTAATTAGCTTCCCCGACCTCGGAGCAAAATGGTACCAACTTGATGGGGAATGGGATTCTCCAAAAGCATATACAAAGCCAGGAACTCCTTAAAAGGAGGAGGGAAACCCTCACCATGAATCAGTCGCTACAATGAAAAGAACGCCAAAAGCACCCTTCAGCCATTTGGAGTCAACCTCCCCCGTGTGAGCGACAAGTGAGCCAAAATCTAGAAAATGGGTCTAGGAATGGGAAACCTTAACCCTACCTCCAAGACATCCTCATAAAAAACTATCTCCCTAAAGGAATCACAACACACCAACTCGTCCTTCTCAGCCCGACGACATAAAATAGTAAGCGGGATATGGAACGAATATATGATCCTAGCAATGTCATCATCACTATCTATGGAGCTGAAAATGAAGATTACCTTTGAGCCGTCACTATCAGTAGCTCATTTGCCTCGCTATGAAGCCTGTGCATAATCCATCATCATACCCTCAGCAAATTGGGTGCCTGTCAAAATCAGAGTCAATATTAGAAAAGGATACCAAAATAACAAAAAAATGAAAGGACAAACAGAATCACCTTACCTTAGTAAAAGACATCACTCTCTATCTGTCTGGAAAAAGACTAGGCCCTCTAGGGCTCCATCTTCATTGCCCAACTAGTCAGCGTCATCGCCCATAATGCTGCCCAACTTTGCTCTGGAGTCGTCGCTGGCGCCACCCAGCCTGGCTCTAACATCACCCCTAGCATCACCTAGCTTGGCTTCGGCATCGCTCCTAGCGCCACCCAGCCTAGCTCTAGCATCGCCCAACCCTCTAGCATCGTCCCTGGCGCTGCCCATCCTCGGCCCTCCCCTATTGGCATTGCCCAGCTCTCTAACGTCGGCCTCCTTTGCACTGTCCAGTCTCGCTTCTTCCTTCGCGCCGCCTAAGTTCACCTCCATGGGACCACCCAATCCTCTCTCCCTTTCTAAGGCACCAATTACTGAAGCATCTCAATCTCTTCGGGTAGAAGTGTTCATACTTCTCTTTGATTAACCCTAATTAGTGTGTTAATGAATTAGATTAATAGGTTAATTGTGTTAGTGAAATAATTTAAAATAGTCAAAGGAAGTGAAATTAGGGTTAGTGCATAAATTAGGGTTAATGCATTAATGGTCTTATTTTTCAAGGTTTAGCTAAGGGAGCAAATTGTAAAAGCTTAAACCAGCAAGGGATCAAAGTATAAATACATCAAACCATCAAGGAACCAGCCATCCAAGATCTAGAGGGTTAGCACCATCCGGACGATGGTGGTAGCGTCCGGACGGTAGCTAAACTGCCTTAAGCCTCTTGCTCCTCTCCTACTGGTCAGCTTTTGTAGCAACTGTTCTAATTGGTCAGTTCCATGGCAACCGCCTCAACCTAGCCTCCCAGCTTCTATAAATAGCCCCTACAGCTTTCATTTTCAACATTCGAAAAATGAGAAATCCAGAAATAGTGGAGGGAAGTCAGGGGAGTTCAGAGCATGCCAGTAAATCTAGAGAGAGTCAGATACGGTCAGTGAGTTAGAAACAGTACAGCAAAGACCTACTTAACCACTTCCAGCCAGCTTTCTAGCCAAAGATTTTTCTTTCTTCTACATTTCTATTATTCCTTTTTACTTGGAGGGTTGAACCTCTCCCACTTTTGTGCCCTAACTAGTATTAAGAATGGTCATGTTTCAACTATTCCTCGGGGAAGGATTGTCTGTGTTTTATTTTGTATTGCAATGGAACTATATCGCACCTCTTGCTCGTCTATAGCAATGGTCGTGAGTAGTCCACTTATACCCTTCGATGAAGGGTGAACATGTGTACTTTATTGTTTGAATTATGGAAATTCTGATGTTATAACTATACTTTAATGTTATATATACCTCTCATATTGATGGATGGTTATATTTATAAGATGCACATGGTTATGAATACAGTGATGTACGTGATTAGGCTTTATGTAACAGTTGATTGATTGGTTATAGGTGGGTTAAGTCTCGGCATAGCCAATGCTTTCGATTCAATACATGAATCAAAATCTCGTCATCAGTGAATCATCAACCTGTCAGTTGAATAACTGTAGTATTCCTTCTGAATGGTTTGCCTTCTGATTTAATATAGTTGTTTAACTGTTGCATGGTATAGATATTCTGATTGAGTAATTTAAGTATTCCTCCTAAATGGCTTGTCTTCTGGTTTACTCAAATTATTTGATTATTGCATTGAAATATACCTTTCGGTTAACCTAATAAGTTGTTGGATAGGATTTAATATACATCATACCTACCGGTTGAATTTTCAGTAAAATGGGAGTTAATTGTTGTATGGTGACATTTCCATAACTTAGCCAATATAATGCATGTGTAATCCCCAAACTAAAGGATATCTTTTAATTATCGCATTTCATATCTTTTAATTATCGCATTTTCACAGTTTTAATAAAATTATTTTTAGTTTCTAAGCTCACACCACAAGCTCTTTTATTACATTTTGTATCTATAACAACTTCACCATTTCTATTTTGATTTTTGATATTGAACTCCTTGTGGGTTCAACCTCGAACTTAAATCGAGTATTATATTGCAATTTTGACCATTTATACTTGAGTGTATACCACTATTCAGATCGAATTTGAGTCATTCTTTATCCTTTCTCCTCTGCCTATGGAACAATGGAATGGCGCTTCCCTAGCTCTAATCAGGAAGAAGGGTTTTGAAATGAAAAAATCAATATGGGTAGCTCACTCTTCGGTCTATATATAACCCGCTAAACCCCTAAGCTTGTTACCCTAAAAGAAAAAGGAGGTTTCTAATGTAAAGGAATGGAGCTTTTCAAATCCAATGAGACACCTAGTAGAAAATTTTATTTTCAAGCATAGTGGGTGTCCAGCAATGGTGCTACCAAACAGGGAAATAAGTTTCAAAAATGCAATAAGGAAGAAAGCTAAAGAGAAGAAGTCACCATGTGAAACAAGATACCTTGGTCTACCCAAATGAAGGAGCTCATTAATATCCTCAACCCCTGTGTCACGACTAGAGCTTGGGGCATGGAGGACTCATGACAAGCCCAAATTCAAACCAAGTCTAGGCCTAGTTCATGGGTTGAACCCAAATCATCAAAAGGCAAATCAGGCTTAACTTATGGCTTCAGTCTAGTTTAAAACTCAAAAGTCCAGAAAGAGTCAACGTATGTGGGAGAATGATCATCGGGATTACCATTACTTCAGGATAATGCTCATCCTCAATTGTAACTAGCCTCCCTAATAAACTAGTATCTTGACCCTCACGTCACCACCTCAGCTAAGGCTCTGCGTCTATAAATTGTAAACTCCTCACACAGATCTACATACACTCCACCTTGAGCATACTCTTGTGCTCTCTATCTCCTACTACCTTGTACTTTGTCATTAATAGAGCTCTCCAGCCATCGTTGCCGCCTTCAATGGTTAGGTTACCTAGACCCTACCACCCAATTTTTGTCTTTTATTATTAATTGTTTCATTAATTGCTCTATACCGCACACTCGACTAATTTGATCGTGCATAATCAATTTTGTGCATCATCAAACTTAGAGTATATGTGTGTGTATGGTGGGTTTCGATGGTGGGGGCTTAGGACAGAGATTAAGTGGGGTAGGTGGGGGGGCCTTGAGACAGAAAACCCATGATCTCGAATGTAAGTGGAAGTTCCAAATAATTAACAATTTTGGATGCTATAATACGAACAACATATGCAAAACATATAAGAAGATAATCCAAAGCTCACCAATAACCACTCCGATGATAGCTCAAACGGTCTGACCTCGAATGCAAAGTGATACCTCCAATTATATAATAGCTTCGACTGCTATAGGTTTAAATAGAATCTACTAGAAGAAAACACAAAGAAAAAAATATATATCAAATCAACTGTGACAAATGGAAATTGATGTTGTAAAGGTATGACATATTGAAGTGCATACAACTTCAATAAATAAAGAGGCCCCATAAATAGTATTATTAAAGGTTTGTTATCCTATACTTTTTAAATTACTACTTCAGATCACCTAGAAATAATACACAAAATAATCTCGTAATATCATAATCAAAAACACCACTCCAAGATTTTATAAAATGTGCAATAAGAATTCAAAGTAAAGAGGTTGCCCAGTAAGTCTCAATACTAAGTTAAAAACTTCTTAGGCGATGTTTGAACTGGAGGAAGTTGCTAAGAGATTCCAAGTTGTTTGTCCATTCCTTTGTCTTATTGGTAGTCAAATAATATGAAATGGCAAAATTGAAACTAATGATAATGCTGAAAGTTATTGGAAAAGAAAGGGCAGGTTAATGGAAGTTAAATCATGCTTGGATTCCAAAAATAAAGAAAAAATGGAGGGACAAAATGACAAATTCCTTATGTTTCCTGCATCCTCCGCAACAAAAGATAGCATAAGATAAAAGCATATTTATATATCCCCTCTTTTTGGCAGCAAAAAAGAAAAAAACTACAAGTCAATAACATTTGAATCCCATTCTCCAATTGGTTCACTGCGAAAAAACCAAGCAAATGCTCGTGCCTAAAGTTACAATGTAACAAAAAAATAAATCCCCAATTAAGAAAAATGGGCATTAGCAAGAGAAGTGACACACATAATGCATTTAGAATCTTAGATGGCCAAATAAGTTCCAAACCTAATAAATCCAAACCAAATTGAGTTTTCTCTAAAAAAATAGCACCCCATAAAAATATATCGTATAAACACAATTCTGACTTTTAAATATCAAGAGAAGCAAAAGTCAAATTTAAAAATCAAGAGAAGCAAAAGTCTAATGAAAACTAATATGCTTGAAAACTCATATAATTATAAAAATAAATGTTTTATGTGTAGTGGTAATATTGTGATGACCCAACAGAAAGCCAAAAAAACTTTGGAATAAACTTACTGTGGAACTTCCTATCCCACATCGGCAAAACGTTGAAACCAAATACACTTTTTGTAACTATAAGATTAAGACTTGCCTCGACCACTCGCTCCTAGCATGGGATAAGGCATAGGCTGAGCAGCCTGTTGCATTGGGTAGGTATATAAGAATAATTTAAAATAAGAAGACAAGTTAGTTTAACTTTTGAATGTGGCAGTTTTAAAAGTTTTTGGTTCACCGGTTAAGGACCCGGTTCATTGGTCAAACCGGCTGGTCCGGTACAGTTCTAATAATAGGTATGTTAGGAACTTGCTTTGTTGCAAAAGGGGTGCTTCGAGTAGCTTGCGTATTGGGGATGGGGTGGGAAAGAGATGGGATAGAAAGAGATACCTTTAAATTAGGAATTTTCTCAAACATGTGGACGGGTGTGCGTGAAATATTTTGAAGGAGAGAGAATTAGAGATGTATAACACAAATGACGAAGCATTTGAGTTGTTTTGATTTTGAGAAAACACATATAGCAAAACTAGAACATTCTCCCTTCTGCAGGTGATACCAAAACAATCACAGCCCTTACACCTTCATTCTTGGAAGCATCAAACATTAGTTTCCATGGTATTGTTCATACATAACCCACTTCAAATGTATCTTCTTCAATAAGAGCACTTGGATGATCTACTAAGGATTTAGCCAAGGTTTGCCCTTTAACTTACTTTTGTGGCACAAATTGAAAATAATATTCTATTAAGGCAAAGATTCATTTCATCATTTTGCATTTTATCTTGTAAACATATATTTAACAACATCAGTTTGAGCAATGATGCAAACAGGGAATAGAAGTAAATAATGCCTTAATTTTATTGTTGAAAGTACAAAGCCAATCAAAGCTTTTCTATTGAAGAGTAATTACATTTAACATTGTTTAATTCTCTACTCAAGTAATAAACTGCTTATTCATGGCCTTGGTTACTATCTTGTACAAGTAGGCTACCAATGTACTTCTCTCCTACTGAAATATATAACTTCAATGACTTGCCTTCCTTTGGTAGCATTAATATTGGAGGATTTGTC